TCAGCCTGCGGACTGAAAGGTCCCAGGTTTGATTCCAGTCAAGGGCATGTACCTTGGTTGCAGGCACATCCCCAGAAGTGGGTGTGCAGGAAGCAGCTGACTGATGTTTCTCTCTCATCGATGTTTCTAACTCTCTATCCCTCTCCCTTCCTCTCTGTAAAAAAATCAATAAAATATATTTTAAAAAAAGAATAAAGGAATTTTAGGTAGGAACCATGAAGTCACATGGTAATTCGATCTTTGGGAGAAAGTGTAGGAATAAAAGCTGAAAAAGTAAACAGGGTAAAGTACATAGACTTTCATATTTCATTTTAGATTTTGATTTTTTTAATTTTTTTTGGTCCTGTATAAATGTGCAAAATCTAACTTGCAGATTTGCTGTTAAGATTATATAAGTACAGATGTTGCCTAAGAGCATCTTTCACTTACAAGCCACTCAATAAATTATTCTTATTATTAATCAATGAATGATTAGAAGTCATTGAAAGATTTAACAAGTTTGTGTGAAAGATAAATCAATCTAACATGTCTAGTGAATTTGACAGGGGACAAGCTTAAAAGTAGCTGCAGCAATCCAAGAGAAAGGCAGGGACAGGGGACTGGTAGAATTTGGATCAACTGGATATAGGGGTGATGGAGGCAAAGGAGATAGGGTACAACTGATGAAGGAGTCTAGGTTAGTTAGGAACAAATTGAAGTATCCATATTCTTTTAATAGCCCTCTGTGGTGGCAATGGTAGAAAACTTATTTTTTTACAATTGTTTTTATTATCTTTCTGGCAACCTGTGTGGGATTGAGACATTTTTGTATTACACTGTGAGCCATTCCCTTGGTTTTAAGCTAAATTAATACACTATCCTATTTAATAAAAGAGAAACATGGTAATTAGCCGTACATCTGCTACCCTTCCCATTGGCTAATCAGGGCAATATGCAAATTAACTGCCAGCCAAGATGGCAGCCAGCAGCCAGGTAGCTTGAAGTGAACTTGAGGCTTGCTTGCTTCAGTGGCGGAGGACTCCAACGTTCCCTGCCTGCTGCTGCCGGCCTCTGAGTTTGCAGTTTGAAACATTGTTACAAATATAGAAGCTAAACAAAACCCCAGAAACCTGCTTTCAGGCAGCCGGGATCTCAGAGCTGGAGTTGCAACAGTGTTACAATTATAGAACCCAAACAAACCCAGGACTTAATTTTTCAATGATTATAAGTAAATGTAACAAAGGATGTATAAAACACTATAAAGAGACAAAAAGGCACTATGGTAACTAAGTGCACAGATATTCACTGTGAGATATGCTAGATTCTTGGATTGGAAAACATAATGTTACAAGCATTGAGTCTCCTCAAATTGATTGATATATTTAATGTAAACCAAATCTATTTCCTATAATATCCCGGCAGCATGTGTGGGTTTGTGCAGAATTTGACACACTGATTCTAAAATGCTAAGGGCTGAGGCTAGCCCAGATACTATTAAAAATGATAAAATACAATGTGGAAGGATCTGATTTCCCAGGTAACAAAATGCACTATACGGTGCCAGTAAAGGAAAGTGTGGTAATCATCCAGGGATTGACCAGCAAACAAACTGAACACAATAAAAACATAGGAGCAGATCCATGACTTCATGACCACTTGCTAGATGAGATGTGTGGCAGGGCAGGTCCCTGGGAAAAGGAAGGGCTTTGCCAGAAATGGTGCTGGCACGATTGAGTAACCACATACATAAAAATAGAAA